GGTTTTGGAGATCGTGGTTGAGACCACGGGAGGAACGATCACGCTGATTGTAAATCCTCTTATTTCCATATTCTTTAGGGACTGCAGCCCCAGCGAGGACCTTGGGCGAGTTCGAAGCGCGGTCACCCCGATTCCCCGAATTCGTTGTGTGGCCGGTCTGGTGTTCCCCTGGTTTAACTAGCCTGCTTGGTAAGTAACTGAATATTTTTTACAGCGTGTTCAGAGCTTATTTTCCAGTTTTTATGAACAAACATATAAATACATCTCTGCATTCCTGCCTCTCCCATAAAAGCGGGCATCTGTGGAAAGCAGGTTTAGTTATCGGAGGGGAACCATTAAACACCCGTTTAAGAGGCAGGCCGGGAGGACGGCTCGTGGATGTTTAGACTGCTGGCCTTGGTGATCTTGAACGCATTATAACGGAAAATGGATCTCCACTTGTAAGTCACCGGCCGCAGGGCACCGGGGCCGCGGCGCCCGAGTGGCGTGAGCATCTTGAGACGGCTCGCAGGGGGTTGGGGTGGGGGGTGGGTGGACGGTGGCAGGAACTGAAATGATCCCCGGGGCTTGGCCGGAGCCTCGAGGGGAGGCTGATGTGTAGCGGAGGATTTCCACATGGGTCCGTGTGGAAAAGCGTGTGAACAGGAGCCCGGGGGCTGTAAATTAGAAGGGGCCCACGCAGAGTGTGCAGAAGCCGAGGCGGCCTGCACAGCCTGGGACTGACCGCTAGGCCTGGCCGGGTCACCCAGGGGAGACCAGCTACTCCACCCTAGGCATCATCCCCTGGAGGCAGGCAGAGGGAGTCGCAACCCCAAGGAGTCAGTGAGGACAGTCCTTTCCTGCTGTGTGCTTTTTGCGGGGCACACGGTAGGTTGGGTAGGTTTGGGGGTGGAAGGCAAGGTCAAATAGAGGGTGGACTTGCAGGGCACCCAATGCCTGTTCTGCCATGGATTCCAGGCGGCTGCCAGCCACTAACCCCAGAGCCTTGGGCAACAGCGTTGAGAAACATTTTTTAGGTTTAGGGGGCCGGGCTGTACCAGAGAGAAAGGAACTCAGTGAGTCAGCGAGGGTCGTAGAAACCCAGGCTGGGAGCTCATTCTGTCCCTTCTGCAAGGGGTCAGTCTCCTGGGATGCCCCCAGCAGAGAGAGCTCTTAAGGCAGAGAACAGGGGTGGGGAGTAGCAGAAACCAGATTTCTTGGTAAGTGTCCTTTGGGCTCAGAACAAAACTGCCACCGAGAGCTCCTCACCCCCACCTTGGGTAGGTCTGCCTGCAGTTTTGAGCACAAGGAGAGTCTTTTAAGGACCTTGCTCTTCAAGGGAAGAATATAGGTAGTGTGGTCAGGTTCTGTTTACATTTCCACTGGGGAGGCAAACCCTGAATGTATAAATACTGGTAGTCCAATCCTCTGACATTTGATACAGTAAAAAAAAAGTA